GCGTTTCGTGGCCCCATGGGGAGCTCCACCGAAGGCCCCAGTGGGGGTGTCCGCATGCGCCCGCCACACCCAGTGCAGCGTTTCGCTGCCCCAGAGGGAGCTCCACCGAAGGCTCCAGTGGGGGTGCCCGCATGCGCCTGCCACACCAAGTACAGAGCTCAATGGTCCCATAGGGAGCTCCACCGAAGGCCCCAGTGGGGGGGCCGCATGCCTCCGCCACACCCACTGCAATGGTTCGTTGCCCCGTTGGGGGCTCCACCGACGGCCCCGGTGAGGGGGGGGGGGGCGCAGGCGCCCACCACACCCAGTACAGCGCTTCGTGGCCCCATCGGGAGCTCCACCGAAGACCCCAACGTCGGTGCCCGCACGTGCCCGCCACACCAAGTACAGCGCTTCGTGGCCCCATCGGGAGCTCCACCGAAGGGCCCAGTGAGGGTGTCCGCACGCGTCCGCCACACACAGTACAGCGCTCCGTGCCCCCATAAGGAGCTCCACCGACGGCCCCAATGGGGGTGCCCGCATGCGCCCGCCACACCCAGTACTGCGTTTCGTTGCCCCATGGGAGCGCCACCGAAGGCCCCAGTGGGGGCGCCCGCATGCGCCCGCCACACCCAGCACAGCGTTTCGTGACCCCATGGGGAGCTCTGCTAAGGTCCCAGTGGCGCAGCCCGCGTGCGCCTGCCACACCCAATACAGCGCTTCGTGGCCCCACAGGGAGCTCCACCTACGGCCCCAGTGGCGCAGCCCGCATGTTTTCCCACACAGTACAGCGCGTCTTGGCCCCATAGGGAACTCCACAGACGGTCTCAATGCCGCAGCCCGCAACGTTTCGTGGCCCATATGGAGCCCCAACGCAATGGCGCAGTCTGCATGCGTCGTGCCGCCAACCCAGTGCAGCGTGTCGTGGACCTACAAGGGGGCTCCACCGCAGCGGCGAAGACGGCACCTACAACTGCGGTATTCGCAACTGCATATGGTCGCGTGCTTCGCTAGGCTATTTTCCCCAACCATCATGTGGTGTTGGGTCTTCGTTTTGAGAAAACAACGCCCCGCATCCTCACTCCCACCGCTGCCCCCATTCTTCCCATCCCCCTCCTCCAATCACCCCCATACTTTGGCACACTCCTCACACGTGTCGTGGCCCTTGAAGGGCTCCACCGAAGGCCCAATGGGGGTGCCCGCATGCGTCCGCCACACCCGATACAGCGCTTCGTAGCCCCATAGGGAGCTCCACCGAAGGCCCCAGTGGGGGGGGGGGCCGCACGCGCCCGCCACACCCAGCACAGCGCTTCGTGGCCCCATGGGAAGCTTCACCGAAGGCCCTAATGGGGGTGCCCGCATGCGTCCGCCACACCCAATATAACACTTCGTGGCCCCAGAGGGAGCTCCACCGGAGGCTCCAGTGGGGGTGCCCGCATGCGTCCGCCACACCCAGTACAGCGCTTCGTGGCCCCATCGGGAGCTCCACCGGAGACCCCAATGTGGGTGCCCGCATGCGCCCGTCACGCCAAGTACAGCGCTTCGTGGCCCCATAGGGAGCTCCGCCGAAGGCCCTAGTGTGGGTGCCCGTATGCGTCCGCCACACACAGTACAGCGCTCCGTGGCCCCATAGGGAGCGCCACCGAAAGCCCCAATGGGAGACCCGCACGCGTCCACCACACCCAATACAACGCTTCGTGGCCCCAGAGGGAGCTCCACCGAAGGCCACAGTGGGGGATGCCCGCATGCGTCCGCCACGCCCAGTACAGCGTTCCGTGGCCCCATAGGGAGCTCCACCGAAAACCCCAATGGGGGTGCCCGCATGCGTCCGCCCGCATGCGTCCGCCACACCCAGTACTGCGCTGAATTGCCCCATGGGAAGCTTCACCGGAGGCCCTAATGGGGGTGCCCGCATGCGTCCGCCACACCCACTACAGCGTTTCGTGGCCCAAGAAGGGAGCCCCACCGAAGGCCCCAATGGGGGTGCCCGTTTGCGCCTGCCACACCCAGTACAGCGTTTCGTAGCCCCATACGGAAGCTCCTCCAAAGGCCCCAGGTAGGGCTGCCCGCATGCGTGACCACATTCAGTAAAATGTTTCGGTGCCCCATAGGGAGCTCCACCGCCACACCCAGTACAGCGCTTCGTGGCCCCATCAGAAGCCCCACCGAATGCCCCATTGAGGGTGGCCACATGCGTCCGCCACAGGCTTCGCGCAGGGAGCGCAGAAGGGAACCAATTAAAAGCTCCGTCGAAGGCCCCAACGCCACCACCCGTGCTCAAACTCTGGTACTCAGACCCATCGTCATCGTTCGTGCCGTTACCCCGTCACACAATTCGGTGCACCCCCTTGCACGGGTCATGGCCCCTTAGGGAGCACCACCGAAGAAGATATTCACAATTGAGGCAGCCACATTTGCGAATGGTTGGGTCCTTCGCCTGGCTAATTTTGAATATCCGTGTTGCAGGGCATGATGTTTTTGTATGTTTCCGGGCCCTCGATAAACCAAGGTGTTTGAAGGATTCCGGCGTGCGCGCGCGACGACGCGCGCATGCGCACGTCGGCCCATTTGTTGAACGAGATGCTGAAAAACTGGAACTTTCCAATAAACGATCGCGCGCGCGTATATATTCTCTGCAGGAGATGAAGGGGGGAAGTGTTACTGGCCTGCCTGGGATGGTATGGACTCAGATTTACGATGAACGATGGGGCAAGCACATCTGCAACTTGCACTACGAAAGCGGGAGCGGTTCAATCTGGGGGAGGGAGGGGATATATCCAAATGGTGTTGTAGCACGGGCATTTCCCAAAGCTGGGCAAACGGGCGCTTCAGTGCGAGTCTGCGACTTTGGCGGGCGCGGTATCGTGGCAATGTCGGCGACGGTAGAGGCGAGGATGATAGCAGCGATGCTGATGACGATGACGACACCAACGACGGCGGCCACTGACGGCGCCAATGCTGATCAAGCCGACGACGACGACGGCGTCCGCGCGTCGGTGATGAAGGTTTTGGCAGGAGTTGGACATGCGCGCCGCGCCGACGTGCGAGAGCGGCCCGCATAGTGACATTCAACACGGATCGTGCTCCCCCAGCACGCGCGCAAGGGCGCTTGAATGATTTCTACATGCGGAGCGAGAGGCCCGCTTGGCAGAATGGAATACAAGTGCTCACTTGTTTGAAAAAGGAACATGCAAAATCATAGTGTGTTTTATATGATTCCGGGGCACTCGAATTTGAACCCCAAGACAAAAACGAAGATGTTTGAAGGATGTCGGCGCGCGCCCGCGACGACGCGCGCGCAATGCGTTCCATTTCATGCAAGGGATTCATGCGACAGCACGCGCGCCGGGGCTCGTGTGGTGGCATTTTATGAACATGTTGGAAATCAGTTTTCTCTTTTTGGAAAACTCGCAAAAGCGAGGGAGCAACCACATTTGAAAGTTAGTTTTTCTTATGCGGTAGACTCCAGCTTGCAATCCTTGCGAACCCAAGGTGTTTGAGGAATTCTGCATGAGCGCGCGTCGGCGCGCGCGCGTGTGCACTTCGCCCCAGTTTGTTGCGAGGAGTTCTTCGAAACTGCTGATTCGTGATAAACGAGCGCGCGCGCAGAATTTGTTTTGCAGAGGAAGGGGGAGGTGCCGATTCGGGCCTGCCTGGGATGGTACGAGCTCAAGCTTAGGATGGACGATGGGGCAGAATCGTTTGTAACTGGCTCTACGACAAAATCGAGTCGTTAATGCCGGAGGAGGGGTAGTCCCGATTACTCTTGTAGAAAGGAGAACCTATGTGGTGCACACTATGTGGCGCAACGCATTCTGTGCAAATTACGTGGACTACGCGATGAGGGGCGATCTCTCTGGTGCACCCTATGTGGGGCAATTCACGTGGTGCAATACCTGTGGCGCGATATTAGAAGAGCAATCTACGTTGAGCAATACATATATATATATATGTATATACATATATGAATTTGTATACACACTAGTATACATACATATGCATATGTGTAAATATCGACATAGATGTGCAATATTATGTCGTGCAACCTCTGTGGCAGCGACGGGGCGGCGACGGCGGCAACATAGCCGGTCAAGCCAGAAAGGCCCAGAAACAGGCGGCGACGAGGCGGAGACGGGGCGGCGACGGCGGCAGCATAACCGCCAGACCACTGGACAGTACCTGGCGACGGGCGGCGACGAGGCGGTGACGGGGCGGCAAAGGCGGCAACACAGCCGCCCGAATGCCAGACAGGCCCAGACGACGGGCGGCGACGAGGCGGCGGCCAGGCTGCAACGGCGACGGCGGCAATATAGCCGCCAGACCGCCAGACAAGTCCAGTTCCGTAGAGGAGGGGTCAGAACCCCTCAGTGCAAGCGCTGCTTGGGAAAAAGGGATGGAGAAGGAGGATGGAGAAAAAGGAAAACATTCAACCTTGGGCGAATCGAACAAATCGGCACGAGGAGTGGGCGGTGGTGGTGGTGGCGGAGGAGGAGGAGGAGAAGGAGGAGGAGGAGAAGGGAGGGGAGGATAAAGGAGGAGGACGGGGGGGGGGAGCGGGGTATGGGAAAGGGAGAAGAGGGAAGGGTAAAGAAGCTTCCCCCTCTTCCCCCCGAGAAAACCACGAAAAGAAGCCCCAGAACCCCAGACCTCGACCCTGGAACCCCGACCCCCCTCCCCGGGTCCGCCATGGACCAGAGGCCCATGGAGGACCTGGGAGCAGGAGCAGGAGAAGGAGGAGGAGAAGGACAAGGAAGAGGATTAGACCTTTCAACACGCATCCCTCCGAAATCGTCGCGGACCCTCCAATTGCACTGACGGCCCAGCCGGGTCCTCCATGGGCCAGAGGCCCCGGAGAAAAGCCAAAGCGCCCCAGAGCCCCAGACCTCGCTCCGGGAGCCCCGAACCTCCCCCCCCCCCTTGCCCGGAACCCGATCATGTGCCTCCGAAGGGCCCCCATCGGGAGAGCAGCGAGAGCCCCCCATCGAGATCCCCCCCAGCACACAGGGCGATCCCGGCGGCGCCTCCAGCCTGCGGAGCTGGGCGCCGCCGCTGCCGCCCCGCAGGAGGCGGCCGAGGACGCAGCCCCGCTCCTCCAGGAGGTGGAACACGGAGGCGGGCCTCCACGAGGCGCCCACATCGATCCTCAAGCTTGCCGACCCTCCTCCTCCTCCTCCTCCTCCTCCTCCTCCTCCTCCTCCTCCTCCTCCTCCTCGGTCCCCCTCCTCGACCTCCTTCGAAGTGATCGGGACCTGCAAAAAAGGAAAGGCCGGATGGCTTCTAGGGAACCTCGAAAACCCTACCACTCGCTCGTCCTGCTCCCTCAAAGGAACCCAGATGCCCACTGGGTCGCCCGCTAATGTTATTGTTGTTTTGATTTGGTGCTCCTGCGCGAGACGGTGGTGCGCCGACGGTGCGCCGACGGCGAAGCGCCATGTTGTCTTGGACATCGACCTGGAGGGCGCCTTTGGAGGCTATGTTGGGCACCGTTTCGAAACGAGCAGGGGCCTCTGGGGCTCGCCGGGGAACAACGTGGGAATCGCCGAGACTTCTTCGGGCGGGTACGTCAGGTTCGTGTCGTGCCGACTTCGGCGTTGGTTTCGGACACCGCGGGGATCGCTCAACCTTGAACGATCGGCCGGGTCCCAAACGTCCAAATCGTTCCACATCGAACGATTATGGGTCGCCCGCGGCGTTCAAAGTTGAACGCGGCTGGCGGGGTCGCTGGACGCGAGCCTACCGTAGAAGGAATCCCAGTAAGCCCACAAAGCAAATGCAATTGAGGGAGGGTGGACACAGGGAGTGCACGAGCAATCAAAAGGACGACGAACCCAAAGTAAACAAAGCGAAGGTACAGCGAGAAGTTCTCCATATCTCCGACCCTCCTAATCCCACCAGCCTTCTGGGCGTAGGTGGTTCCACAAATCCTGTTCTTTTCTCTGCTAACCCCCTCCTTTCCCTGCTCGGGGGAAAGGTTCCCCCCCCCCCTACCCCCCACCCTGGGTTTGGAGGGGGAGGGCAGAGGCGTTCGAGCGGCCAAGATGGCCCTAGATCCCCCACAGAGAGCCTAAGAAAGCGCAGGATGGCCTCCAATGTGGGCCAATGTTGGACGTTGGCCGAACCCGGTCTAGTGGGACCTGGTTTAGTGATGTGTACTAGGGGACGCCCCCCCCCGCCAAGTTCCACTAAACGGAACTGCCATCACCCGAACAAAAAACAGCTACGGCAAACTTGGTTTAGTGATTCTGGCCCATGCAGGGGCTCCGGGGCCCTACCACTCCACTAATCAGGTCCCCTTACCTGGAGTCCTGGCCGTACTCGAAAGGTAGCCGACCATGGCGCAGGACAACCTCCGACTGACTCCCAAAGGCCCCGAGGTGGCCACAGGATGGCACCGAGCGCCCGTCGAGCTCCCCAACGACACCCCAAAAGATGCCCACACCTCTGAAGCATTGTGGCGGGAGCGTCCAAGGGCCTGTAGGTCGATGAGATTCCAACAACTTTAAAGGGGCCCTGGGACACACAAATAGATAGACCCAAGTAACAGGATTCCCATTATTTTCATATGTTTCTGGATTTTTGTCTTCCCCCCCCACTTCCCATAGTTTCCTGCACTTTCCTGGGAGTCGACGATGACTTGTGTCTGTGTTTCTTTGCCTCCTGAATCTTCACCATCTCGAACTGACTTGCCTCATCACTTTCCACACTTCGTCTGCGCTTCTGGCCCTGACAGCGCCTCATGGGAGGTGGATGCCTTCAACCTACAGGCCGGTTCGCGCGAAAGCAGTCTCAGATCTCACGGGCGGCCGCCAAGTGTGAGGAGGCCGCGCGCACTCCGAAGCGATACTATAAAGCACGATTGGACCTAAACGTTGTGGTTCGTTTTGTCTTCGCGTGTTCTTCACCCCTACCTGTTTCCCTGTACCTCCCCCAAGAAAACGAAAAACCAAACACAGCCAGAATCCAGAAAAAGCAGCGTCCAAGTCCAGCATTGCTATAATCGGGCGATGGCAAGACTGGGTTTCATGGGACCTGGTTTAGAGATCTGTACCGGGGACGCCCCCCCCGTCCCGTTCCACTGACCAGGATTGCCGTCACTCGACAAGCACCAGCTGCGGCAGACCTGGCTTCGTGATTCCAGTCCATTTTTGGGGGCTTCGAGGCCCAACCACTAACCTGTGGACGCCCGAAATGGGTACGGACAAACATGGGTACAATGCCCAACAACAAATGTTTTCCCAAACCGACAGCCGCTGGCCATACCCGATATATAAAACTTGGGTCCTGGCTATACCCGATGTATAAAAGTCACGGGCGCCCTGCGGGCGCGGACAGGCCGGCGCGCCCAGGAAGCAACACAGCACAGCGCACAGTGAAGGCCTCCCGGCGCAGGAGAGCCGCCCCGCCCGGCCCGCGCCACCGAGGAGGCGTTGTCGCTGCGAGCGGTCCCCACCGAAGCTTTCGGCGTTCGATCCCGAAGGCGCGCGCACTACTTGGGACGATGCGCGCGGGACCTGGCGGGGAGAGCGGGGGGAGTCGGCGCGGGGGTGTGGTGCGAGGTGGTCGCTCGTGTTGGTTGTGCAGGGCTGGCGTGGAGTCCGCACGGGCGCGCCTGTGTTGTGTTTGTGAGGTGTGGTGTTATGCGATCCTCTGTGTGACCAGGTTTGTCACAACGTATGATGCTATGGTGTGATATGGTTTGCTGTGCCATCGCATATTCTGCCGCACTCTGCCATGGTATAATGTGTCATCGTATGCAATTGGATGTGCTGCGGTCTGTGTTGCATTGTGGTTTGTTATGTCATGGTGTATTTTGTAGTCCCCTGGTATGCCATGTCATGGTATGCTATGTCAGGTCGGAGGTGAAGGGGTGAGATCGAAGTGGAACGGAGAGCCCCCCTACCGGGAAATCGGTTTCGGTTTCGTCTTCGTGCGTGCCGTGCGTGCGGGCGAGGCGAAATTGCGTGGGCGGGCGAGAAATGTCCCGCCTTTAGCTGACACGCGGCCGGACCAAAAGCCTCCCTTCCGGCAACCGGTGCCGCGCGGTGCCCCGCCGGTGTCCCGCCGGTGTCCCGATGACGATGATGATGATGACGATGTAAGTGATGATGATGCTGATGATGATGAGGATGATGATGATGGCAATGGTGGTGATGATGATGGTGTCCCGATGATGATGATGATGATGATGATGATGATGATGATGATGATGATGATGATCATGATGTTGATGATGATGCTGATGATGCTGATGTTGCTGATGATGATGATGGTGTCCCGATGATGATGACGATGATGTTGATGATCATGATGCTTCTGATGATGATGAGATGATGAGATAATGAAGATGATGATGGTGTCCCGATGATGATAACGAAGATGATGAGCTGATGATGGTGCTGTTGATAATGGTGATGATGATGGTGTCCCGATGATGATGATGTTGATGATGGTGTCCCGATGATGATGATGAAGATGATGAGATGATGATGGTGCTGTTGATGATGGTGATGGCGCTGATGATGACAGTGTCCCGATGATGATGACGATGTTGATGGTGATGACGATGATTGTGTCCTGATGATGATGATGATGCTGATGATCAGGATCACGATGAGGTGATGATGCTGATTTTGATGGTTTTGGCCCAATGATGGTGATGCTGCTGTTGATGATGATGATGGTGACCCGATGATGACGATGATGATGATGATGGTGAGACGATGATGTAAGTGTCCCGATGATGATGTTGATGATGAAGTTGCTGCTAATGATGATGATGGTGTCCCGATGATGATGATGATGATGCTGCTGATGTTGGTCATGATGATGACGGTGATGATGGGGTGATGATGATGGTGTTCCGATGGTGATGACCATGAAGGTGTCCCGATGATGATGATGTTGATGATGATGGTGACGATGATGGTGGCCCGATGATGGTGATGATGGTGGCGATGAAAATTATGGCCTTGCTGATGAGGATGATGGTGTCCCGATGATGGTGATGTTGGTGATGCTGGTGTTGCTGATGATGATGATGCTGTCCCGATGGTGGTGATGTTGATGATCCTGATGATGATGAGATGGTGAGATGATGGTGATGAAGATGATGATGATGATGGTGTCCCGATGATGATGATGTTGCTGATGATTGTGATGATGATGGTGATGGTGATGATGATGACGATGATGGTGTTCGATGATGATGATGCTGATGCTGATGATGAGGATGATGATGAAGTGGTGATGAATCCCACCAGCCCTTTGGGCGTGAGTGGTTTAGAGAGCCCGCTCCGTTCTCAACCCCCCTTCTTCCCCTTCGGGGAGGGGTTTACCCCTCCCCCTACCCCCTCCCCCTGGGCCTGGAGTCCTTTCGCGGGTCGTCAGGGGTGTCATTTTCGACTCCTGGGAAGGCTAAACAACGACACCCCTCACGAGGATTCTGGCCCCGACGGGGGGGAGCAGAAAAACCCCATCTCCTCTTCTTCGAAGCCAAAATCATTAATTTTACTACGGTGTTGGTCCCATTTTGGCCTTCTGAGGGGGCAGCGCTCATTAAAGCTCCCCTCTTCCTTCAAGGCAAAATCATTGATGTTACAAAGGTTTTGGGCTCATTTTGCCCTTCAGAGGGGGCAGCGCTCGTTAAAGCTCCCCTCTTCTTTGACCCATCCCCTCCAAGATGGCCCCAAGAAGCGCCCAGGAGGCACCAAGAGGCCTCAAGATGGCCCCAAGAGGCCCCCAGGAGGCCCCCAAGAGGCCCCCAAGAGGCCCCCAAGATGCCCCCAAGAGGCCCCCAAGAGGCCCCAAGAGGCCCCAAGAGGCTCCCCCGAGGCACCCAAGACGCTCCTGGAAGCCCCTGGGGCCGCCAAGAGGCCCCCAAGACGCCCCAAACGGCCTCCAAGAGGCTCCCAAGAGGCCCGAAGAGGCTCCCCCAAGGCACCCAAGACGCTCCTAGAAGCCCCTGGGGCCGCCAAGAGGCCCCCAAGACGCCCCAAAAGGGGACGAGGTGCCCGAACGCCTCACGCCACGAGGAGCCCGAACGACTCACACCAGGACGAGGGGCCCGAACGACTCACACCACGAAGAGCCCGAACGACTCACACCAGAAGGAGGGGCCC